GAGAATACGTTCGACAACAGGCAAAAGCATATCAGAAGGCGCCGCTTTGCGATCTTTACGAGCCCTGCACAGCGAAGGGGTGATCCATCGGGATGTGAGACTTGCGAATATGTTGTTTAACTCGGAAACGGGCACGATTATGATGATTGACTTTGAGCGGTCCACGCTTCTGGAAGCGCCTCGCCCACCACTGGCGCAGATAGTGCCGAATAAACGGTCGTGGAGAGAGGCAAGAGTTACTACGGCCAAGAAAGTGAGCAATGTACGAAGGCAGGGGTTTGCGGAGGATATCTGTGGGCTAAGAGTACTTTTCCGAGAGAAACTGTATAACGGTATTTGCGGGTCGTGCAGAGATTAGGCGTATTCACTACGACTTTTATTGGCTCAGACATAACAAGACAAGAATAACCATATCCATTTTCACACCTAGCCCTGGCTGAGAGCATCGGCACTGACATCAAGAAACCCAGTGCTGTGACGTCAAAGATGGTAGATTTGTAAATCAGGACCAGGAAATCTGTCAACTTTTCCCTAGGTGGGCATTATAGGGGGGTTAGCTCCGATGACGTAAGGCGAAATGCGATTTACCCGAAGGTGAGCCGACAGAAGCTTGCCGCCGTCCGCCGCAGGCAGGCATCACAACAAGAAAGCAGGGGCGCATGGGAGTCCCTAGTTTAAGCTTGAACCACTGAGACAAAAATCCCCTTATGCTCCCTTGTCTTCAAGAGCGGCCAATCGTTAACGCACAAGTTGATGAAGAAACAGGGAGTATTGGATCTTCTGAGGCCGCTGGATGTAGGGCGTAGCATCTTGTCGGCAAGGCGGCAAAGATCATTTATGAGCTGCTGATGCAAGAGGACGAAGTGGTAGTGCTTCGGATACATCGAGCATAGTACCTAAGAAAGGGAAGTCCCTGTGACAGTGGCATTTCGGGGCTGGGGGGGCACGGGTATTTCGAAGAACTCAGGCCTTCAAAAATGTCCTCCCACCAAAATTGCGCGACCTGGTAGTGAAGAGCGACCGGCTAACGCACGAAAATAAATTGAGTTATGATGGCCCTCCTGCTGCGATGTCCATTGGATGCTAGCCTCGATAGCCGCTGGCCTACCAGGGCTATCGCACAGTGGGGAGGGACTTGTAGGGACAGCCTCTGAGTGAGGATGTCCTCTTTGACGCCTGCTCATCAGCAAAGGTAAGCTGTTGAAACGCGCGTTCCCGGGCCAGCCACCTGCCGTGGATATCCACAGGCGGACATCCATGAGCTGTCCTGTCCTGCCACGGCGATCAACGCAGGAGGATGTCTACGCTGGTTGTCACGATCCCATGTTGAAGCTGCCGCGGTATCACGTGACCATGTGATACCTTTGTTCCTTTCGCGCATCGGGAAGCCACGCTTTCTCTTTCTCTTGCTTCGTTGCGCTACTACTTGTATCTAGAATCTAGTACCAACTTGGTTACTTATTCATCTCCTTTAAGAACCGTTCCAAAGCGCCTCCAGGACGCGAGATCCTCACAGACAAAACCTTTGAACTAGCACACGTCTTTGGCTGGCGCAAATGCTAAACGTCCCTACAGAATCCACCTGCGCACCTCCTCATGCCCGGGAACGCTGCGTTTCACCGCCACGGTCGGTGAAATCTATCCAGCTCTTCCTTTCTCTGGACCCTTTTAGCAAAGCGCTGTACCAGTCGCTTGACACCAGCATTTTAAAGGTCCGGCAGACCGGTTAAAATAAAATCCAATTTAGCGAGCCACATGATTTAACTCTGGAATTTTTCTTCATCAGTTAGTGGACGCTGAACCGGAATAGAAGGCTACATGACCACTGCTTATGCACACACAACTCTAGTAGCATGTATCCTAGAA